GAGGCGTATACATCGGACTCCACATTTAGCTCATGTGGTTTTATTGTCTACTATTATTAGCTACTACAGTTCAGTCAGATCCTATTGCATTGACCATTTATCAGTATGTCCAGTATTCAGTTTCAGCATGTCATAAATGGGTCACTGCATTTACTTATCTCAGTATTCAATATCTATATCATGTTCAGATTATTTCATTGTTTTATTGCTTTGTTTAGTTATATGTTATTTCAGCTTTCCTCTATCCTTCAAGTACTGACACATACGTGCGCTACATCTTCTCGTGATGTAGGTTCAGGTTCCCAGCATCCAGATCACGCTTTGATCGATTCCCAATCTTCAGTTCAGCAGCATCAGTGGTAAGTCCTCATTCTTCGGGGACTAGTGACATGTTTATGTTTATTGCTTTTAGTCTTTAGTTTCAGTTTTGCTAGACCTAGTTAGGGCATGTTCCAATATTTCTAGTCAGTTTAGAGAATTATTTTAGACATAGATAGATTCAGCTTAGTAATGAGTTAATATCTTCCTTGTATTAAACTCATCAGTTTTCATTTATCTCAGTTATAGTATATTGGTATTCCCCATCTTTTCATTATATTTATGATGATAGCTTCTACTCAGTTTTTGTTATTCAGTTTATCTTAAGTATGCTCGAGATCGTGCTAGCAGGGTTAGCTTGGGATCACTTGTGGTCCTAGGTCCCGTGTACGCGTCTTGGAGGTAGCTCGAGGAGTGACAAAATCTATAATTCGATCCGTTGAACGTAGTTTCTTGGGTAATTATCATTGGGGAAAGGTTTTGATATGTGATTTAAGGTGGAAGAAACCCTAACCTAGGTATGGGGATCAAGGGTTTGACATAGGATTGATAATGTTGGTTATAATCCAGGTAATTAGGCCTCGTTTATTGATCCTTGCATTAACTGTATGATTTTAGACAACGAACAAGCGGGAAGAATCCAGAAAGGGAAGATTCAAGTGCCTTAGGGGATTCAAGTTTGGATTCGAGGTAGGTGATTGTCACGCCCCAAACTCAAGGGGCGCAACTGACTCCTAAAGCCAAAACTCAGGCCCGAGCCGACCCTGTTGAACCATTTGCTACTAGGGCATGGCAGTCACATGCAATTAAGAAAACAAATAAGTATATCTCGGCTTAAAACTAAGCCCTCGGCCGGCAAGGCCCCTGTCAATAGATCTACAAAAGAACCAGCTACTCCCAAGAGTTCATATAAAGAAATATCCAACTAGCACAGAAGTCCTGATTGGGCCGTCGAGGCCACCATGATATCTATACCAAAACTAAAAACAGGTAAATATCAATACAATACATGAAACAGCTCACAAGCTTCAGCAAACCAACAACATAGGCCAGCATGGCCATAACGTAGTTATAAACCCCACACACTAGTCTGCAAGCCTCTAAGAGTAGTAAAGATTGGTGAGACAGGGCCTGAGCCTACCCATGAGAATATATACAACAAAAGGTAACAAACCTCCCAACTCTGGCAGCTGCGGAGAAAAGGGGCTGACCAATGGGATAAAAGTCAATCCTGCTGATATGGAGGTCTACTCGGTCATCCATCAGGACCTGCATGCATGAATGCAGTGCCCCTAAGGCAATGGGGCGTCAGTACAAAATAATGTACAGAGTATGAAAGGCAATAGACTATAATGAGGTATCCTGATATACCGGAATAATCTGATAAATAAATTAAGGATAAGATAATTGCACTGACCTGCTTCTAAATCTAAATTTATCAAAAATAATAAAACAACAACCTAACCAAGCCCCCATATGCTCGGTAGGTACAAACAGCACACAAGACCACCTACTCAGGCCCCCATAAGCCCGGAAGGTGCCAATCAGCCTGTATACCCCTATCGGTAGTCCCCTAGCCCCGCAGGCAGTCACATAGCCCTCTTATGCATCAACATATCATATAGACAACTCACAGCCCTTTTGGGCAACAACTTGGCCCTGTAGGAAGCACATAACGTTCTTAGGCGTTAATATATATCCCTGTAGGCAACTCATAGCCCTTCTAGGCATCAATATAGCCCCGTAGGCAACTCGTAGCCCTTCTAGGCATCAATATAGCCCTGTAGGCAACTCATAGCCTTTTTAGGAATCCATATAGCCCTGTAGGCAGAACATAACCCTGCTAGGCATAGATCACATTCCTGCAGCTAACAACAATAGCCCAAAGGCAACAATAACAATCCAATAGCTAAAAGTGAGCAATTTAATTATAGGCAACCTATACAAATAGCCTCTAAGTCGTGTCCAAGATACGAATGTTACTATTGAATAAGAATCTCGATAAGAGAGGATTATACGCACTCGAGCAGCCAACAATTAACAATAATAGCTATAAGAATAACAACGATAACAACTCAATTACATTGCTCCTATGCTTTAAGGAAACATGCCATAGGAAGAGAATAGCCTTAACATACCTTTTTCGCTAAATTCACGTGGCCTAAAGACTTTAACTCATAACTCCCTCGATACTACAACAAGGTAGGACCATAATCAACACACAAAATAAAAGATACCATGACAATACAATAAAAGATATGTATTTCGTCGCAAATTGCTATTTGTTGCTTATAAAAGCTAGAGTCGATGAAAGAACGGTCTTACCTTGATCTTAGGTTCGTAATTCACCTCAAAACCTTCAAATATACTCAAACCCCTGCTGTCCCAACACTAAAATATGATATGCTATGCAATCGATAAAACAAATTATACCACGATGTTGAGCCCAACGCGTAAAACAACTTTCCTCAAGGACTTACGTCGAGAAAATCTATATTTCACTTGATCCTAAAAATGGGTTTCTATGTATTCTCTGTATATTTAGCTTAAAATGAAGAAAAATACTCGAAGAAGAAGATATATACAACTTTCCACCGACATAGGGCCCCACCTCACGTGCCTGCTTGTGCAGTCCCACAAAAATGTGAATATCTCTCTATTCTGAAGTCGTATGAATGAACGGTTTGATGCGTTGGAAACTAGACTCGTAGACCTTCGATTCAATAGTTTGTGGGCCCCATAACTCATTATAGATTGGGAGAAAACCTCCATGAAATTTGACCCAAATTTCAGAGAAATCTTTAAGAAGGAACTTACGATAACTTCCGCCAACTTTTATTTTGCCACTTACGTAACTTCAAAACTTGAGATGCAACACTTGAACACTTAAAATAGGACTTACCACATGATTCTTAATTTATTACTCACCCTTCTTGTCTTTCCACGAAGGTACGAGTTAATTTAGACGTTTTGAAATGTCGAGGTGTTACATTCCTCCCCCCTTAGAAACATTCGTCCTCGAATGAAAAATCTGAGGCACACTGTTCAGTCTTTAGGACTTGCCAGAATTTAGGCAGTTTATCCTTTGTAAATTTCACTATCCAGGAACCTGAATGCAAAATTTCTAACCTAGGCGTCTCACATGACAACATAAATAGCAAAGCGTTATAGCTCCACCACAACAGAGCGAGCAGACATACAACGACAACCACAATAATAATAAGTAATAGTATATATATATAGGTATCTTACCTTATTTCCCTAATATAAACTGATATGGTATCACCCTGGGGTATGAAACAAGTGAGGATATTTGGACCTCATGCCATCCTCAGCCTCCCAGGTCACCTCTTCTCTATTTTTATTCCTCCACAATACTTTAACCGAAGCCACCTCTTTGGTCCTCAATTTATGGACCTGCCAATCTAATATAGCAACTGGAGTCTCCTTGTAGGACAACTCCTCTGTGATCTGAACATCCTCAATTGGGACAACCCGAGAAGGGTCTCCTACACACTTCCGTAACATTGATACATGGAAAATGGATGAACAGATTTTAGCTCTGAAGGCAATTCTAACTCATAAGCCACACGTCCTTCCATCCGAAGGATCTGGTATGGCCCAATGAATCTTGGACTAAGCTTTCCCTTTTTGCCAAATCACATAACACCCTTCATAGGCGAGACTTTTAAGAATACCCAATCATCGACACAAAACTCTAAGTCCCTTCGTCATACATCTGAGTATGACTTTGTCGGCTTTGAGCTGTTAGCAACCTCTCCCGAATGAGCTTAACTTTCTCCACTGTCTGCTGGACTAAATCGGGTCCAATCAACTCTAACTCACCTACCTCAAACCATCCAATGGGGGATCTACATTTTCTCCCATACAAAGCCTCATAAGGTGCCATCCCGATGCTAGAATGATAACTATTATTGTATGCAAACTCAATAAGAGGCAAGTGGTCATCCCAACTTCCCTTGAAGTCTAGCGCGCACGCCCGTAACATATCTTCGAGTGTCAAAATTGTTCGCTCAGCCTGGCCATCTGTCTGAGGGTGAAAGGCGGTACTAAGATTAACTTGTGTCCCTAATCCTTTCTGGAAGGACTTACAGAAATTGGCGGTAAATTGTGCTCCTCTATCAGAGATAATAGATACTAGGACACCGTGTAGCCTAACAATCTCTCTAATATAGAGCCCTGCATAGTTTTCGGCTGAAAAAGTTGCCTTGACTGGTAAGAAATGGGCTGATTTTGTTAGTCTATCAACAACTACCCAAATAGAGTCAAACTTGCAATGAGATCGAGGTAATCCTGTAATAAAATCCATATTAATTGCTTCCAACTTACACAAAGGAATGGCTATCTCCTGAACTAGCCCAGCAGGCTTTTGGTGCTCAACCTTCACCTGTTGGCAGTTAGGACACTGCGCCACAAACTCAGCAACGTCCTTTTTCATCCCCTGCCACCAATAGATCTCCTTAATATCATGGAACATCTTCGTCGAACCAGGGTGAATAGAATAACGGGAATGTTGTGCCTCTTCCATAATTCGATGTTGAAGCCCTGCAACATTCGGAACACACAATCTACCGCTATATTAGAGGACTCCATCTTCTGCTATATCAAATGCTAAGGACTGTTGATCCTGAGCCTTAGCTCTAAGCTAGGATCCTTTGTTGTCATGATTTTACTTCTACAACTAGAGATGATACGGCTGTATCCTGAACTGTGACCCCACTATCGTCTGCCTCTAATAATCTGACTCCCAAACTAGCCAACTGATGAAGCTCTCGCAGTAGCTCCCGCTTCTTAACACCTAAATGGGATAAACTACCCACAGATCTTCGACTGAGGGCATTGGCTACTAGATTTGCCTTTCCTGGATGATATAAAATATCCACGTCGTAGTCTTTCAGTAACTCAAGCCATCGACATTGTCGCAGATTTAACTCTTTCTGTCTAAATATATATTGAAGGCTTTTATGATCTGTGAAGATGTCAACATGAACACCATACAAATAATGTCTCCAGATTTTTAATGCATGCACAACTGCAGCTAACTCTAAATCATGGCTCGGATAGTTCTTCTCATGTTTCCTCAACTGTCTTGAAGCATATGCGATAACCTTACCATGTTGCACTAGAACACATCCCAACCCAACCCCAGAAGCATCACAGTACACCGCATAGCCTTCTGAACCCTCTGGCAATGCTAGAACTGGTGCTGGTGTCAACCTGTCCTTTAGCTCCTGGAATCTATGCTCGCAAGCCTCAATCCACTGGAACTTAGCTGCTTTTTGAGTCAGCTTCGTTAATGGTGCTGAAGGTGAAGAAAACCCCTCTACAAACCTTCTGTAGTACCCAGATAACCCCAAGAAACTACGAACCTCAGTTGGAGTCATAGGTCTGGGCCAAGTTTTTATGACCTCAATCTTTTGTGTATCAATCGCAATACCTGCATCTGATACAATATGGCCTAAGAAAGCGACAGAGTTCAACCAGAACTCACACTTAGAAAACTTTGCATAAAGTTCTTAATCTCGAAGAACCTGAAGGACTGCTCGCAGATGATTTGCGTGCTCAACTTTTGAACGTGAATACACCAAAATATCATCAATAAATACAATCACAAACAACTCTAAATACGGCCTGAATATACTATTCATCAGGTCCATGAACACTGCTGGGGCATTAGTTAATCCAAAAGAGATCACCAAGAACTCAAAGTTTCCATATCTAGTTCTAAAAGCTGTCTTTGGAATGTCTTTCTCCCGAACTCGTATCTGGTGGTAACCTGATCTTAAATCAATCTTCGAGAAGCACTCAGCACCTTGTAACTGATCAAACAAGTCATCGATCCTCGGAAGGGGATACTTATTCTTTATAATGGCCTTATTCAGCTGTCGATAATCGATACACATTCTTAGTGATCCATCTTTCTTCCTTACGAATAACACTGGTGTACCCCAGGGTTAAGCACTAGGTCTGATAAAGCCTTTATCCAGCAAGTCTTTCAGCTGACCCTTCAACTCTTTTAGTTCAGCAGGAGCCATTCTATAAGGAGGGATAGATATGGGTTGTGTACCTGGTAGCATATCGATAGAAAAATCAATTTCTCGTTCTAGAGGGATACCAAGAAGTTTGTCTGGAAATATATCTAGAAACTCATTAACTACTAGAATAGACGGAAGCGTCGATGGTTCTGCATCTATATTATGAACACGAACAAGATGATAAATACAATCCTTAGTAATCATCCTCCTCGCCTTAAGATAGGAAATAAACCTACCTTTTGGCGTTGCTGTAACGCCTTTCCATTCCCGAACTGCCTCTCCTGGAAGTGGAATCTAACAATCTTTGTTCGACACTCAACATTAGCATAACAAGACGCTAACCAGTCCATACCCATAATGACGTCGAAATCGACCATCTCTAACTCTACAAGATCTAGAGAGGTCTGACGGTCTATAATTTCTACCGTGCAACCTCGATAGACTCTCTTGGCAACAATAGACTCACCAACTGGGGTAGATACAATAAAGGGTCGATCTAATGACTCTGCTACTATACATAACTTCCCCGCAATAAATGGAGTCACATAAAACAGAGTAGATCCAGGATCTATCAAAGCATAAACACGATGGGAGCAAACAATCAATGTACCTGTCATAACATCTGGTGATGACTCTGAGTCCTGTCGGCCGGCTAGTAAATATGTACGATTCTGGCCACTACTAGAACTAGATGCTCCCTCTCTGCCTCTGCCTCTACCTCTACCTGCTGAAGTCTGGGGTCCACGCCCTGTAGACTGTGCTGATGAAGAGGAACCTACTATTGACCTGGTCGACTGACCTATACTACCCTAACCTATGGTCAGGTCGTTTCTCCACACATGCCCTTCATGTCCACAAGAATAACAACCCGTGGAACCCTGTTTACACCTACCGAAATGCAGCCTACCACAGGTTGCGCAACGCGGCGGTGCTGTCCTAGCCTGGCCTGAGGCTCTCTGCTGATAAGAGTCTGATGCTCGTGAGCCCTCACCTAGGCCTGACTGTCCCTGACTATAAAATCTACTACCCTGGAATTGCTGTGGTGGAGGTCTAGGTGGCCTAATAAAATATTGGGGTCTGGGACCACCCTGAAAATCTCCCTGCGAACCAGCGGGCCTAGCCCTCTTCTGTCTCTCTTTCTCGACCCTCTCACTCATATACTGTCGATGTCGGCAATCCTCTATGCCCTGTGCAAAGGCCTGAATCCGCGAGATATCCATATTATCATTTAGCGCAGCGGTAGAACAAGCCTCGATATAGTCTGCGTCAAGCCCTCCCACAAATCTACGCACCCTGTCATGCATCGTATCAACAAATGCTTGTGCATATCTAGCCAATGAATCAAATCTCAGCCCGTACTCTCGGACACTCATGCCACCCTGTCGGAGGTTCAGAAACTGGTCCACCCGGCCATCCCTAATCTCTCGAGGTAAATAGTGATCTATGAAAGCTTCTATAAGGCTATCCCAAGTGGGTAGAGATATATCTTTTTCCCTAGATCTCTCCCAACTTTCATACCACAATACTGCAATATCACGCAATCGAAATGCTGCTAACTCAACAGACTCAGTTGCTGAGGCATGCATGACTCTGAAGATCCTATGAAGCTGATCAACAAAGTGTTGAGGGTCTTCTCTGCGATCTGTTCCTGTAAACTGTGGAGGATTCAGGGTAAGAAATTCACGAACTCTCGAACTTCCGGGCCCTTCAGAAGGTCCGGCAATATCTGGTGCAACTGGTTGGCACTGTGCAGCTACTAACTGTGCTAACATATATACTGCACTCTTGAAATCCTGATCAAATGGAATAGGAGGAACTAGAGGTGGTACTGCTGGTGGAGCCGAAATTCCTGTAGCCCTCGGAGGCTCCTGAAGCTATGGAGAAGCTATAGGGGGCTGAGAAGATGTCACCCCCCGGGTCTCACAATGGGCCACCTCCACTTGTGCTACTTTGTCGGTACCCTCACTTGCAGTTGTATCTAAAACCTGGCTAGTTGTGGTCTGTCTAGTGTCAGTCATCTCTATGTGCATACAAGTATCAATTATAAGCCAGAAACCTCAACCCTTAAGACACCGCTCTATAGCACGAGGTGAGCAAAAGAAGGATAGTCATTCTAACATGCCCGACAGCTTCTTGTCTATCGAATGTGGTGCACAACACATTTATAAACAAAACTCTACTAGACATGGCTTGCAGACTCCCTAGGATACGACGTTGCTCTGATACCAAGTTTGTCACGCCCCAAAATCAAGGGGCGCAACTGACTCCTAAATCCAAAACTCAGGCCCGAGCCGACCCTGCTGAACCATTTGCTACTAGAGCATGGCAATCACATGCAATTAAGAAAACAAACAAGTATATCTCGGCTTAAAACTAAGCCCTCGGCCGACAAGGCCCCTGTCAACAGATCTACAAAAGAACAAGCTACTCCCAAGAGTTCATATAAAGAAATATCCAACTAGCACAAAAGTCCTGATTGGGCCGTTGAGGCCACCATGATATCTATACCAAAACTAAAAACAGGTAAATATCAGTACAATACATCAAACAGCTCACAAGCTTCAGCAAACCAACAACATAGGCCATCATGGCCATAACGTAGCTATAAACCCCACACAATAGTCTGCAAGCCTCTAAGAGTAGTAAAGATTGGTGGGACAGGGCCCCAGCCTACCCATGAGAATATATACAACAAAACGTAACAAAGCTCCCAACTCTGGAAGCTCCAGAGGAAAGGGGCGGACCAATCGGATAAAATTCAATCCTGCTGATATGGAGGTCTACTCGGTCATCTGTCAGGACCTGCATGCATGAATGCAGCGCCCGCAAGGCAATGGTGCGTCAGTACAAAATAATGTACAGAGTATGAAAGACAATAGACTATAATGAGGTATCCTGATATACCGAAATAATCTGATAAATAAATTAAGGACAAGATAATTGCACTGACCTGCTTCTAAATCTAAATTTATCAAAAATAATAAAACAACAACCTAACCAAGCCCCCATAAGCTCGGTAGGTACAAACAGCACACAAGACCACCTACTCAGGCCCCCATAAGCCCGGAAGGTGCCAATCAGCCTGTATACCCCTATCGGTAGTCCCCTAGCCCCGCAGGCAGTCACATAGCCCTCTTAGGCATCAACATATCTTATAGACAACTCATAGCCCTCTTAGGCAACAACATGGCCCTGTAGGAAGCACATAACCTTCTTAGGCGTCAATATATATCCCTGTAGGCAACTCATAGCCCTTCTAGGCATCAATATAGCCCCGTAGACAACTCATAGCCCTTCTAGGCATCAATATAGCCCCGTAGGCAACTCATAGCCCTTTTAGGTATCCATATAGCCCTGTAGGCAGAACATAACCCTGCTAGGCATAGATCACATTCCTGCAGCTAACAACAATAGCCCAAAGGCAACAATAACAATCCAACAGCTAAAAGTGAGCAATTTAGTTATAGGCAACCTATACAAATTGCCTCTAAGTCGTGACCAACATACGAATGTTACTACTGAATAAGAATCTCGATAAGAGAGGATTATATGCACTCGAGCAGCCAACAATCAACAATAATAGCTATAAGTATAACAACGATAACAACTCAATTACATTGCTCCTAAGCTTTAAGGAAACATGCCATAGGAAGAGAATAGCCTTAACATACCTTTTTCGCTAAATTCACGTGGCCTAAAGACTCTAACTCATAACTCCGTCAATACTATAACAAGGTAGGACCATAATCAACACACAAAATAAAAGACACCATGCCAATACAATAAAAGATATGTATTTCCGTCGCAAATTGCTATTTGTTGCTTATAAAAGCTAGAGTCGATGAAAGAAGAGTCTTACCTTGATCTTAGGTTCGTAATTCACCTCAAAACCTTTAAATATACTCAAACCCCTGCTGTCCCAACACTAAAATTAGATATGCTACGCAATTGATAAAACAAATTATACCACGATGTTGAGCCCAACGCGTAGAACAACTTTCGTCAAGGACTTACGTCGAGAAAATCTATATTTCACTTGCTCCTAAAAATGGGTTTCTATGTTTTCTCTGTATATTTAGCTTAATATGAAGAAAAAACTCGAAGAAGATATATACAACTTTCCACCGACCAAGGGCCCCACCTCACGTGCCTGCTTGCGCAGTCCCACGAAAATGTGAATATCTCTCTATTCTGAAGTCGTATGAATGAACAGTTTGATGCGTTGGAAACTAGACTCGTAGACCTTCGTAGTTCTGAGGAAAATGGGTTTTGAAGAAGTTTTTATTGATATGACCTGGAGAATCATGGCTAACAAATGGTACTCCATCATTATAAATGGCAAGAGACATGGTTTTTTTCCATTCAACAAGAGTTCTAAAACAAGGAGACCCCTTATCCCCATCCCTATTTATTTTAGGAGCTGAGGTTCTCTCTAGATCTTTGAACAGACTTTATCAAAACCCTCTCGATCATGGATTTCACATGAAAAGGAAGACCACCCAAATTAAGCACTTCAGCTTTACAGATGACATCATTATTTTCACCTTAGGAAGGAAGCATTCACTCAAGCTGATTATGAAGAATTTGGGTATTTATGAGCAGACTTCAGGACAACTCATTAATAAAGCCAAAAGTTAGTTTTTGCTTCCATCCAATGCCTTCAGGACTACTTCTGACATAATCAAGAAATAAATTGGCTTTCACCAGGAAGAATCTCCAATCACTTATCTTGGATTTTCTCTCCTTATTGGTAAACCTAGAATTATCTATTTCTTAGAAATGGTCAACAAAGTGGTTAACAGAATCACAGGCTGGCAGTAAAAAATGTTGAGTTGTGGGGGCAAAGCTACTCGGATCAAGCATGTCCTCCAGTCACTTCCTATGCATCTCCTATCAGCTATTTACCCTCCTTCAACCACTATTAAGAAAATTCAGGGCATCATGACTAATTTCTATTGGGGTTGGAGAAATGATAAGCAAAACTATCACTGGTCTTCTTGGAAGAACCTAAGTTTTTCTTATGATGAGGGGGGCATTGGGGTTAGACTCATTAGTGATGTTTGTCAATCTTTCTAATACAAACAGTGGTGGATTTTTAGGTCGAAGCAAACTTTATGGGGTGATTTCCTAAGGGCTAAATATTGTCAAAGATCTAACCCTGTGAGTAAAAAAAAGGGTTGTCAAGACTCTCATTCTTGGATGCTTATGACAAGGAATAAACACAAGATCGAGTCTCACATACAATGGAAAATCAGGTCTGATTCATGCTCATTCGGGTTGGATAATTGGTTAGGGGTTTGTCCATTGGCTATGTTCACTGAAGACAGCAACAGATTCAATAATACCACTGTCTCAGAATTTATAGAAGAGGAGCAATGGAATAGTAACAAGATCATTCAGCTAGCTCCTCAAACTCAGGTGCACAACATTCTTGCTACTTAGCTTCAGCTTCAACAGGGTATTCCAGATAAGCCAGTGTGGAGCCTCAACACAAATGGATTGTTTACTTACTCTTCTGCCTAGAATTCCATCAGGGAACAAAGAACAAAAACCAAGATTAATACCAACACATGGCATAGAAATATTCCATTCAAATGCTTTTTTCTGTTATGGAGAGCATTCAGAGGTAAACTACCAACAAATGAGAATCTTTCCAAGTTTGGAATTAGACCTGCAGACTGTGTTTGTTGTCAAGCTCAAGAACTGGACACCATTGAGCATGTTTTCAACTCAGGATTGTTTACCAAAAATGTCTGGAAGTTCTTTGATGTTCCCTTGGCATCCAAACTGACTACATTCCTCTTAATTACATGATCATGAGATGGTGGAACACTAATTACAGAAATGAGGCCCATAAACCAATCAACTCCAATCTTTATTTGTTGGAATTTGTGGAAGAATAGGTGTGCTAAAAAGTATGGAGGTAAACAATACAATATTGCAAGGGTTAAGTTTTTAGTGATCATGGATACGTTCAAACTTCTTCATACTTTTTTCCTTACATCACTTGGACTTCAAGTTGGAAAAATCTAGTCCAACTTATTGAGAATTGTACCCATGACACTAAAGTTACCTTTGTCCAATGGATTAAACCTCCTGATATGTGGGTTAAACTCAACACTGATGGAAGTGCATTGGACGATCAGGACAGAATTGGGGCTGGGGGTATTCTCAGAGATACTAAAGGAAACTTGATCTTTGCATACTCAGTCCCCCCTTGGGGGAAGGTACCAACAACCAAGCAGAGGTGGAGGCTGCTATCTTTGGTATAGCATGGTGTGCAAACTTAAACTACAATAAGGTAATTCTGGAAACTGACTCACAGCTGCTAGTGGACTGGTTATTGATCAGATCAGCACCTCCATGGGGCATTTCATCCCAAATGCAAAACCTCCACAGTCTCATCACTCACATCCCTCAATTCAAATGCATACACACCCTTAGAGAGGCCAATAATGTGGCGGATTCACTATCCAAACACAGCCACAAAGTCACCAGTCCTCAAGTCTATTTCACCAGACAGCAGAGCTCCCTAAGGAGGCAGCAACTAATCTTCAGTTGGAAATAGCAGGTATGGCAACTTTCA